TATAATTACAGTATTAATAAGAAATATATTTAAATTTTAATCTTTTTAAATAATATCATTGAACAAAAATATATTTAAAAAAAGAATTAAAGAAATACTATTATGGTTACTTTGTATATATATATATATATATATATTAGAACAATGACAAAATATAGAAAACAAAGTACTACGTAGTTTATGTAAAGAGTTCAGGTACCAGATATTAATTTATCACGTGATAGCTTGAAATGAAATTGAGCTGAGCTTCTAGAAGGGACAGAGACCATGAATGAAGGAAGCTACCACCCTTTAGTTCTTCATTTATTGCATACCTAGAAAGGGACAAATTCCAGGTAATTGTACCAGCTCATACATATTTTAAAAATACTTGTAATACTAAAATCTAAACTACTTCCAAACTAAAAATTAAATTATATAGAGGTTTACCGTTCAAAGTTCGACTCCAACGATATTCAAGCGAGTATAAGAAGGCTGGCATGAAAACACCTCCATAAGTTCCTGCTTGATGCACTGGAGAAATATTGTACAACAACACACTCAATCTAGATGAATACAAAAAAATAGGAGAGAAGATGCTCGAAGGAATATTGACTTGAGTATAATAAGAGAGAACACAAAAAGTACATTCCGCGGAAGAAGTCTTAGCTTTGTTAGAAATCATAGATCTCCATAATGGTATGATATTGTCCACTTTGAGCATAAGCTCTCGTGGCTTTGCTTTGAGCTTTTCCAAAAGTTCACACCAATGGAAATGTATTTTTTACGTGATCAACCCCTTGATTAACTGATGTGGGGCTCCTCCCCCAACGGTTTGATGCATTGGAGCTTGACCTGCTCGATGCTGAAGGTTAGGGAAGATGTGGGGCTCCTCTCCGTTCCCAGTAATTTGGTGCAAGAATCCATGGTCCTGGGCTACGTGACAGAATCATGTGCTCTCTCCATCCTCTTCCAAAAGATATGTTGAATTTATTTCCTGCTTCAGAAGCTCCCTCCCCCATTCTGCCACCTTCAAAGCCCCAGAAAAAAGAAAAAACAGAGAAAATAAAAAGTGGGTCATTGGGCTAATCATTCCCAGCCCTTTATCAGAGTATTGGGCTGCCTAAGAATCCAAAATGGGATCAAGGTCAATCTTCATGGCTACCAGTGCTTTCTCTATGACCCAAAAGGACTTTCCTTTCATAGTTTTCATGTTGAATACAAAGTGCTTTGAAGTTTGAAGGAAGAAGAAAGAAACACCTGCAAGAGCTTTGTGAGAAAGCATCGGTAGAATATTTCTAACCCAAGTAATCGATTTAAGAAGTGCTTCAAAAGCACTTTTACAACGTAAGAACAATTGTCGTTCAATACCTTTTCCTCACCCATGTGAGCCTTATTCTTAGTAACCACGACTCTTTACAATAGTATGATATTGTACACTTTGAGCACAAGCTCTCATAATTTTGGTTTGGACTTCTCCAAAAAGCCTCATTCCGATGGAGATGTATTTCTTACTTATCTTCAACATTTACAACTTCAAATCAACATCTTTTGGGGTTTGACAAAGCACTCTAAAGGACACCTGAGTTCCAACTTGTTTTCAATTAACTAAGCCTTGTTATTGACTCAGAGGACATAGACCATGAAATGTGCAAACAATAAGCCAACACGAGCGATCTAAGAAGGAAAGTACCTTCAATTCCTGCACTTCAGATGAGCGTTGTTGTCTGGAGCTCAAGATGTTTGATTCCATCTATGAAATTTCAAAACATCGTGAAAACCTATCTTCAGCGAACGCGTTTTAAAAATCTTGATGGAAAGTCTAAAGAGAACAATATCTACTAGTAGTGGGCTTGAACCGTTACACCATCCCTATGGAGTCACACAAGCTTGGAGAACATCTAGATAGAGGGGCTCTAGTGAGTTGGAAATTCACCTCCTATGAATTCTGAGACCCCCATGGGTTTGGTTTATTCCAATGGCTGTTTTCCTTCCTCAAATTGTTCATTCTGGGGTTCAGAGGAACCTAGAACACCTTTTCAAGTCCCTTATATTGAGCTGTAATTTTTGCCTTTTAATGATGGGAGATAACATACTGGACAGAATTCTTCATGATAATTGTAGGAGTTTGGGATTTTCACTTTCGTGCTTATCCTCAAGATTTTTAAAATGGTCTATTCGAGAGAGATTTCCATACTTTTATAAACAATGATTCATGCTCCTCCCAACCGATGTGTGATCTCACAATATGCCATCAATTTCATAGCACAACAAAAGGAAGATGAAATGAAGTCCATTTCTAACACTAGCCTGCACAAAGAGGGAAAAGCAGACGATGCCAATGATGTCCACGAAGTTAACGCCTTGATATGCATTTTATCAAACACTCAAACATTCAATTCTCAAAAACTTAAACAGCGCTAAACAAATGGATATGACATTTTATCAAACACTAAATGTTAGTTCCTCAAATTAACTTGCTTTCCGCTAAATACTTGGATGGGGCATTTCATCGAACACCTTAACGTCATTGCTTTCAAAAGCAGGTATAAATCCCACCATTTTCAGGGATCGGAGATGAAAAGGACAGGAAAGAAATGGAGCTTAAGTCAATGAAGATTGGTAGTTGTCGCAATATCTCGCTTTGCTCAAAGCGAGTAAACAAGAAATTATTATTACTGAAAGAGGGTGATATAATAAACTGTGCTATAAATAACTCCTACAGAACCTGGAAATAATCATTCCTACAAAAGCTCGGCTAGGCTGAAATAACTATTCATGAGGATGAATTCCATCTTAAAATAGATTGCACTCATTTTGACAGTAGCGACGATCAAATCAAACAGAGACTCGTCTCGGGATCGCAGATCTTAGATTCTTGTTCCTAACTCGCAAGGCAAACGCCAAAATTTGGCTGTGGACCATTCTCTCTCGAGTCCTTTCCCCATCTCTCTTAAACCCCTTTCAAAATCCCTCCTTTTGCTTTTCTTTAATAGATTGTGGCTGTTTATTTTCTAACCAAGAGAACTCACGGAATTATAATAATAAATGTTAGACGAATACGATTCTCTACAATAGTATGATATTATTCACCTCATTCCAATGGAGAGTATATTATTAGATTATAACATCTAACACCTCCCTCGAACAAAGTACGCCCTCCCCTTAATCGAGGCAGAGTATATCATTTTTGACTGCCTTCGTACCTTCGAGGAGGCTATTCGACATTCGAGGATTTGCCAATCTATTGGCTCGGCTAAGTTTAGAGCATGACTCTGATACCATGTTAGAGAGTATTATTTGTTTATAAACCTATGATCATTCCCTAAATTAGCTGATGTGGGACTTTCATCATCGATGACAAGTCATTTACGAATATTTTATGATATTTTTCCTTGAAAAATTTGACACAATTATTAGGTCTGATTTTAAATAGAAATTAAGTGAAAATGTTAGTAATAATTAATAAAATTATTAAGAGGAGGGAAGGTATATTGATTTAAAATTCTAATATCAAACATGTTGAAATTATATTTATATATTTTCTGACATAAAAGAAAAAAGTTTGACGTTAGGTATAAGCTAGAACAGAAAACATTAAAATTTGTAAGAATAACTGAATTGAAGGGTAGGTTCGTAATTTCACAACTTGAATATTACTAAGTGTAATCATTAATTTAAAACAAAAATGAATTAGGAGAAGTTGAAAATAAGTTGTAATTAAATATAAATCGTGGGGCCGAATTAGTTGATAAAATAATGACGTGAAAAGGGGTGGAAAATCAATCATGGTCTGAAGGAATCTGATTATTTATTTATGATTCTAGATTTGTTTCATACAAAACTTCTTCTCCATAATCATTTAATATTAAATTGTTTCCCCCATTTTCTGGATCTAAAATTCTTTATAATAAAATTCGTAATTGAATACAGCATTATAGACCCATAAATTTAACAATTTTGAAATAAAGAAAACACAATCCTTTAAGGTAAAATAGAGAAGGGAAAATTTAATAAAAAAGTGGTTGAAATTGTTATATTATTTAAATTAGGGTAAGTTAAGGAATGAATAATATAATTAAGAATGGATGGGGAGTGGTGGTTTGCTGTAATTATGTAACTAAAGAAATGCAAACCAATCATTGAAAATTTAATTTTTTTAAAAAAATAATATTAAAGAAATGCATGACCTGAATAAGCTTGGAATCCACCGCCCCCAAATTTATATTAGAGCGATTTTGTCGTTGTTGTTGAGAGATAAAAGTGTGAGATCCCATTTGGTTGAGAGAATAACAAAACCTTCCTTATAAACATGTGAAAAACTCTACTTAATAAACATGTTTTAAAACATTGACGAAAAATCCATAAAGAAAAGGATGAAAGTCCAACTCGGCTAATTTAAGGAATGATCATGAGTTTATAATAAAGGAATACTATTTCAATTGGATGAGGGAAGCCCATAGCAAAGCGCCATGAAAACTTATGCTCAAAGTGTATATTATCGTATCATTGTAGAGATTCATGATTCGGGTACTGTTGAGGGGAAAAAGGGAAAAGAAGGAGATGAATGTTTGATGGGGGATGGGGAAGGAAGTAGGAAGAGAGGCCAACATATTAGACATTCAAGACAAAATTAGAACACCAAAAGAAAAGAAAAAAAAAGAAAAAATGAAAATCTTCATTTTGCTTCTCGTCGTCCAATCTTAGAATCTTTTCCTTTTTCTTTTTCTTTTCCTTTTTCTTTTTCTTTTGTTCTCTTCGGTTCAAAATCAAAGAGTAAAAGTGTGATCCCCACACATTTCTTTTTCAGAAAATTTTAACGTTCCCACGCTTTCCTCTGTCTTTCCTTTTCTTTCCATGTTTTCCAATCCATTTCCCAAAACCCTCAAAAGTGGATACGATCAAAATTACCCTTTCCACACTTAATTTAATTCTTAAATCTCTGAACAATCTAATCAACAGTTTTTTTTTTTTTTTTTTTTTTTTTTTTTTTTTTTTTTTTTTTTTTTTTTTTTTTTTTTTTTTTTTTTTTTTTTTGTAAAAAAAATTGCAGCACAAACACAATCAGTGTAACAGATTTATGGCTCAGGAATGATACTAAAAGAAATGGAATTAATAAGTAAGAAACCTGATTAGCGGTGGCGGATGGCTCGATTGGTATCCACACCAGTGGTTCTTTCGTACACCGGAAGCTCTTCGCGGTACCGATCTCCGCTCATTACCGTCAGGTGATCTAGCTCGAACAGATCTGAACTCGAACAACTTGCTGTGTCGTCTTCTTCTTCTTTTTCTTCTTGGTAGAGATCATTGTTCGGATGGTGAAATTTTCTTACGAGGAAATCCTTCTTATTCCTGATTTGTTGATAATCTGTCAAAATGGTTCTGGCTGCTGCTGTTGCTTCTGCTGTTTGCGGCTTATCCTTGACTTGGAACTTAGGTCCTTCATCGTACAAGGATTTGTGTCCGCAAGGTTTACAATATTCGTCTACGATTGTACTCACCGGATAGAATCGAACCGTTCTCCTGTCGACGTTGCGCAATTTTTCACTTGAGCATGGCGAATTTTTGCTCAAACATGATCTTGAAAACGATGTAGCGGAAGAGCAAGTCGAAGTTTGGCCGGATTTTGATTTCCTCTCTGAATTAAGATCTTCAGAGGCTCCGGTTGATGTTACGGAGTGTGCTTGTTTCTTCGGAGTTCCTGCAGTGAAGATTGAATTGAGAAAACTTGAGAGGCGTCCTCCTGGAGAAATCGGCTGCTTCACCTTCTTTAAGTTATTGTATATCTTCAATGCCCTAGATTTCGACTTAATCATGGCGTTCTCGTCCAAATCTCGCGATTCTTTGTTTTCGACGCATTGATTGCTCTGTTTCGACTGTGGCTTTTCTCTACTCTGTCTTTGCTTTGCCTCCGTCTTCTCTGGCGGTAGAGCCGAGGCACTGGTCCGAACCGGTTTCGGCCTGAACTTTGCAAAACAAGACGGCGTCAAGGACTTCGAGCCATGCATTGATTCGGTATCCGAAGATGAAAATCCGCCGAAACTCGAATCGGAAGAACTCGAAGTGGAACTGAAGAAGAGAACATCTTCTTCCCGATCATGCTGGTGCAACTGAAATTTTATCTCAGCTTCCGTCAGAGATCGTCTCCTTTGAGCGCTCACCTTTTCAGCAACCTTCTTCTCGATCCATCTCTCGATCAGCAAAGCTCGATGAAGACTCGCGATCTCTTCCTCCCCGATTGTTTTACCTTGTTTCTTCAACACCTTATGTCTGTAAAACTTCAATTCTCCACTTCTCTTATCGCCTCCATCGTCAATCGAACGGTAGATTTCATCAAGCAAACTCGAAGAGAAAGACTGTCCATAACCTCCTCCATCCCTTAACCTCTCACCTCTCGCCCTAACTTCCTGCCCGCTCATGATTATCCACAGAGAGATAGAGAAAAAAAAAAAAACAAAAATCAACCAAGAATGAGAAACGAAACGATCGATGATGAAAGGAAGGAAGGAAACAAAACGACAGTGGCGGAATGCTCCGTCACAGAGCACACAAGAAGTAGGGTGCCGAGCCGTGTTCCAACTCTTTCCTGTCTCCTTCTGGAGGTCCAAAAGCTGCCATGGAAGGTGACAGAAACTGTTGGAAAAGAAAACTAATTACACCTAATTGGAACAAGATTACTTTTCTTCGTCTCTCTCTCAATCTCTGGTTTTCTACTGAATCATCGGCAAACAAAAAAAAAAAAAAAAAGCTAGAGATTAAGAAGCAATTGATGAACAAGGCTTTCCTTTGTTAAGGATTTCTAGAGAGAGAAAGTGGCTAATGAGAAAGAAGGAAGGCACGCTTCGAAGGCAGAAGGTGGAACTGGAAGAAGGAAGAGGAAAGAGAGACTTTATAGGATCCTCACGCGCGTGTTTATTTATTTATTTTATTTTATTTTTTACAATTTCTCCATTTTGCCCCTTCTTTTTTGAAATTTTGTATAACGCTTTATTCCTTTCCTTCTCCCTACAATTTCGAATTTGTTACCCGTTGTTCGGTAATAACGGATGAATTTTATTTCTTTTCTTCTTTTATTTTATTTAAGATCGGGGGCTAAAATTGAAATTTCGTACTCCAATCATTAGCTCTACTTTTTTGTTTCGGCTTAATTATTAATATTTAATAAATAACTGATTTCAATTATTTTATTATTCAATAAATATGGTAGCAGTTTTTTTTAATCCTCCATTCACATTAAAGAAAGTAATATATATATATATATAAAAAAAAATAAAAAAAAAAAAATCTAAAAACTTAAAGCTACCTACTAGGGATAGATGTTGATAGACAATTATGGACGAGTTGTGAATTATGCTTCAACTTGCACGGTTGTAGTGCTCGACCCTATATGCTATAAACCTTATGAGTGATGATGCAATCAACAACTCTAGTATTATGTATATATGAGAAAGAACGTTGGTTCACCTTCTTTTTGTTTTTTTAACGAAAACGATTGGCATGCATTTCCTTGTTCTAACCATTCGTACCTTGTCGTTGGCGAGTAATGCTGTAGTGAGTTTGTAGACTTGGGTTGGTCGTATGGCTAAGCTTGTGCTTAGTTGGTGTGTGCTTCAATGTTGCCCGAATGCTCACCATTGAACCTTGTTTCAAAGCACCGTATTGAAATAGGCCAACGAACCCTTCTAAACCAAACTCGGTCATTGACAAAATGAAACAAACAAAGCAAGATTCCTTAACTCTTTTCAAATTTTTTACCCTGCATTGCTTACAGAAATTAAGGAAAACTGTTACTAAAGAAGGCACAAGTATGAATACACACACAACTAAAGAATCCCATCCCATGTCAATGGTCCAAAAGAGGTAAAGCAGCAAGCAAAGTAATTGTAATGTAAGCCCTTATTGCAATGAAGAAAGTAAGCATCAATGATGAACAACCCAAGCCGAAAAGGAAGCCAATTGAGGGTGTTATCAAATAAGAAAGGATATGTGTCCCCATAATCCTACCCAAAAGCACATGATTTGCATATCTGGTTACCAAAATGTTGAATCATCTTAAGACAAACAACAAAGAAAGAAAGCCAGCACTATCAACTGGTCTGCCCTTCCATACACGGTTTCTTCTCATGCCCATTTTTTTTAGCTGCTGCAAGTTAAAAGGGTGGGGTGAATGGCAACGTGGCTTCTGTTTTGTGAGCCCACCACTATCAGATAGCTAGTAGATATTGTCCACTTTCGACTTTTCCAGCTTTCTCTTCTAGACTTCCTTTCATCGTCAAGTGTCAGGCTCTGATATCATTTGTAATAGCCTAAGCTCACCGCTAGCATATATATTTTCCTTTTGGACTTTTTCTTCTTAGCTTTTCCTCAAGACTTTCATTCCCTCTCCAACCGATATAGTATCTCACAATCCATATTTTCCCTTAAGATTTTCGTTCCCCTCTTAAACCCAGGTGGGATCTCATAATCCACCATCTTGCAAGCCAATCGTCCTAACTAGCACACCGTCTAACTTTGATATCATTTGTATCAGCCTAAGCCCACCGCTAGTATATATTGTACTCTTTGAGTTTTTCCTTAAAATTCTAAAACACGTTCGTCAAGGAGAGATATTCACACCCTACAACTAATGTATATCGCACAACAATTATCCTATACTGTGTTAGGGTCAGAGAGAAATGGACCATGAGAGGACTCCAGACATATGTAATTAATGGCATTTTGTCCTTTGCCTGTGCAGGGCTTCCAAGTATTGCTTAATACAGACCAAATAATATATGGTCTCGCAGAGACCCACCAGGTCCCTTGCTTCAAATTGAATGGCAATGTGAGACCCTTTTTAGTTCTTTAGTTTCTAGTTCATTTCATATCAGGTGCATAATTATTAACCCTAAAGTTATGAATCTTGGGTTGGTGCTATTTTTTTTTAACTCGCAGTGATCTCTGAAGTCATAAACCCTAGAAAAGAAAATTCATTTTGTTAATAAATATTTGAATTTTAATTACTAACTACTACTGGCAATGAAATTTTATATTAAAAAAGAGAATTAAAGATAAATTATTTGTGGAGCTGGAGCCACTCACCTTCCCAACCCCTCACCTCAAAGACTCCCTTAAATGTCTTTATTATTATTGAAAATAGAATGGAATGTCTTTATTTTCATACCTTTAAAGGTTTCAAAGCCATCATTTCTGGATCTTCCTAGATATTTGTTGTTAGCCTTTTGACTAGACCTTATAAAATTGGGTTAAATTTGTTGTCCTCCGTTACATATAATATATTAACGGGTTATAAAAGGACACGACAGTCGTATCAAACTTTACTCTAGAATCAAATAGTTGTCCCTATGAGATTAGTCCAAGTGCAACTTGTTAGAAATGAACCACGAACCTCAAAAATGATAGGATATTGTTCTCTTCGATGCATAAGTCTAAGTTCACCCCTAGAAAATATTGTCCTCTTTAGACTCTCCCTTCTCAGCTTCCCTTTAAGATTTTAAAACATGTCTACTAGGGATAAATTTCCACACCCTTATAAAAAATTCACGATCTTCTCATTAGCTAATGTAGGACTCTCCTTCCTCCCAACCATTGCTAAGTTAAAAGGGCGAAAGAGAGACACCAGAACAGAAAGAATAAAGGTTAAGAAAGCAAGCAGGCAAATACTAAATTCCAAGGGGCATGATGCGCATTACCTTTGGGTTTCCATATGCTTTAGTGGCCAGCCTTAGCCCCCAGGATTGCAAAGTCTTTTTTGCTCAATAAAGCAATGGAGCGTCACCTGCATAAGCTGTATCCATGACTCATTGGTTAGATTCAACCTCACTTTAGTTTAGACAAGTTTCTCCTTTTGTTGTTGCATTCAATACAACCAAAGGGACTGTCTTCAAGGCTAAATCATAAAAATCACAGAGATAAAGTTAAAAGGGTATCCCTACTACAAGACTCAAGAACGATAATGAGAGCTAAATTTATATTTGGGACCATGGAGGAGTTTTGGGTAGCATGTGATTACATTTACTCGCTCTATTCACTCTAGAATGAAGGGTTCCCCCACCTCCCCCAAATGATTAAACAAGCTGCTTAGTAATAGCTCTACAACCTGATCCTTTTCTCTTTTTATCTCTGAGAAAGTGACAAATCCGGATCAAAATACATGTATACTAAAGTACGGATTGGGATGGGAGCTTGGATTTGGAAAAGAAAAAGAAAAAGAAAAAGAAAAAGAATAAGAAATGGGTGCGATAGTTTGGGTTAAAAGGGCTGGGCATCGGGCGATGGTGGAGATCCCAACAAAAGGGGGTTGGATCGGAGACGACAGCGTCCAAAGAAAGGCTCTATTCCCAAAAAAAGGCAGAACAAATAAAGACTATGGACTCATCTCATGTCTTCTTTTTCTTTCTGTCTCTGATCAAGAAGGCCTTCGCCAATGACAGTGCCCATGCCAAACTCCTCTTCACCCTCATTATTGGGCTGCCCTGCCCTGCCCTGCCCTGCCCTGCCCTGGTATTAAAAGAATGAAGGTCCCAGAACACATTTTTTTGCACACGAATCGAACCAACCACTAACCCATAGTCCATTAGTTACTTGATCCAAATTTAAATGACTTGGTTGTTCTATTCGCTTAACCAATTGAATATTAACCGTTTATTAAATTCTAGCCTGTATTGTCTTGTATTGTCTTATTTGGGCTTTTCTTTCTGGACTTCCTCTCAAAGGTCCACCGCTAGCAGATACAGTCTTATTTGAACTTTTCCTTCTAGGCTTTTCCTAAAAGTTTTAAAATCTATTAGAAAGAGGTTTCCATACCTTTATAAAAAAAATGTTTCTTTCCTTCTACTCTCCATCTCACAATTACTAACTAACTAACTGTGATATCTAATTTATAAAAATATATTTTAAAAATTAAAAAATATGTCCACACTTATATATTTAAGTTGACCCAACGATAAATCTATTGAGCTAGGTCGATCGAAATATGGCTCAAACGAGCCAGTCCATTTTTTTTAAATGGTATTTAGCAATGGGTTGAGCTTGATTAAAATTTGGCTTTGGGCCACACTTAGATTGAATCTAGGCAAGGCTTGGACCAGCCTTTGCGTTTTGGGCCGGTTGATAAGGCTGAAGCTCTCTGTCTGGATAAAACAGATCTTTTGTTTTCTAATCCCAATTTGCTTAATTAAGAACAGAAGGTAATCGTGGCCCTAGCAAAACCTTCATTAAAGCAAAGTTTGCCAACTGCTGAAGCTTAAAAGAGTCGGTAAAACATACAGAGATTGGAACATTGCAAATTATCACGATGCAACTTTTAACTGGGAGCTACTCGTTTGCACCAAGCCGCAGCAAAATAGCCACAACTGTTGTAGTCTGGAAGAAGCGCAAAGGGTGCAGTAGCGGCAAGTTAATTTATTCTAATTGGATAAAACTTAAAGCATAAGGGCGTTCAAAGCAGTCCTTGCACCTTTCATTCGGATTTCAGCCTCTCAACATCCACCAACTGGTAAAGATCTCCACGCTTTTGCTTCAGCAATGGTAGGTTAGTCCTGAATAGTTTGTGCATACTATCAATGAGAGAGGGAGAGTTGAATAATGATTGAAGAACACTTTTTAAAAAGGACTGCAAGAGTGGTCACCTTCTAAGCTCAATAAGTGAATAATCAATCTCCGCTATGATTATTGCTTCATCATGTTCTGTTGTAGCTAACACTTCACCAAACTGCAACATGCATTATGCTAGACTGAATTTGTGAAAAGAATCCATGATAAAAGCTAAAATAGAAGGCCCAATTCGTCCATGAATAGAGTTGAGAAGTTCCGAAGGAACCAATCGAACCTCGAATACATAATCGCTTCAGTTGCATGATACAAGAGAATAACAAAGCTGAACTTTAGCATGGACTTACCGGTCCAACAAGGGTAGAGTGGCCCCAAGCTACATAACCAGCTCCATCGTCTCGAGCAGGTGAACATGTTGCCAAATACAACTGAACAACAAAAGCATCAATTAAATAAAATGTTGTGTAAGATCATTCTGTTTGCAGACGTGAAAGAAAGATTCTTCCATATATTTTTGTAAACCATTTATACATTCTTCGGTTTTAGAGATGTTATAAACAACCATTTATTAATAAAAAGTACAGCAAGACTGCGACACAAATCTTACGGTAGACAATTATTTCTGAAAGAGGTGCTTTATAAACTATGTATTATTATTGTCAAACAAAATTTAGTTACACAACCAATCATATCATATTGATATAATTTTTTTCTTTATTATTGCTTTGTTTGTGCATAAAACAGACAAGAATAAAAGCTGGAGACTCGTAAAATACCTGATTATCTGCAGCCCTGCATAAAACATCAAAACACAAATGTCAGTGAATACAACCAAGTATTTCAATAAGCTACAATAGAATACACAATTTTATGATCTTCAAAACTAACCCTAAAACAATTTTATCTTAAAAGAAAATAGACCAAAAGAATCAGATTATTGAATGGTCAAATAACCGTATGTGGTGTCGACACAATGTAATGAAAGTTAAAATTTTCTTCTTCCCCTTTTTCATACAGGCAACAATGGCTTTCGAGGAGCCCGGCCGCTTACAGGAGGGAAGGGACACTCACAAAAAGGCTTTGCTTGATAAAATATGAACCTTATCAATAGAAAACCATTATCTCAGGTCCCAACATGCTCTGTACTCACACATCTTGGAGATCAGAACCATCTTTTACTATTTAACATGTTCACGACATCAAGACATGTCAACAAACCATCAAGGTAGAAATTAATAAAGAAGTTCAGACCTTGCACGCTGCAATAACTCCCAGTGCAATGGTCCAGTAGTCATGTTAAATGCCCCAGGATAGCAAATCAAGTGAGCACCTGATGTTAGCAAGACAGTCATCATAAGACAAACTTTAATAAAAGGAATGATTTTGTATGGCCACCACAACAATCTATGAGCTCTGTCTAAGGAGTTAAAGAATAGAATCAGATTGACACCTCAAGGATGTATCTTTTATCAAAATGTGTTTATCAAGCCAAAATACACATATACACATAATTTCATTCTGCTCTAACAAAATGCAACATGAGAGATCAATGAATAACAATATAGATACTGAAAAAGTTAAATCCTCATGATCAATATCTGCTAATACTACAAACGGAAATTCAAGCTTAAATGAAGGAATATTTCGGTAGAATACATCTGGTACTCTATAGGATTAATCATCTCACAAGGAATATACATAAGGAGAGAGAGGGTCGCTACTATTGATATACTATAAATGATTATTAGGTTAATTTAATAATCTAGAGTGCTAATGAAGCCAATCGTCACAAACCTCTTGCAGCATATATCATGGCTAGTTCCTGAAAACGAATGTCATAACAGATTCCGATACCAATACGTCCAACTTCTGCATTAACCAGAAGTAAGAAACGACAATATAGTTAATCACCAAAAATAAGAAACGACAATATAGTTAAGCTTATCATAATCAAGTGCTAGTAACAAGAACTATTTCCTCCAAAAAAAAAATATAAAACAAAAAAGAAGAGAAGTGCTAGTAACAAGAACCTCCCTGAAAAGTAAAGGAACTACAAACCAACCTGTGTCCACAACAGTAGGGGTTTGACCTGCTGTAAGAGTCTTGGACTCGATAAAAGTGATCTTTCCAGGGATATCAATATCAAAAAGATGTATCTGCAGTTGAAAGGGGCACTATAAACTTACGAAGTACGAATTACCAACAAAAATAAACTATCCCCTAAACTAATTAGATAAACCTAAACTACACTAAGATGTCATTTCCAATTTAAGTCCGTCTCCTAACAATGAAATAAAAACACAAACAGAAAAATGTTTCAGAAGCCAAACTGAGGAACACGTGAAAAATGGAGATTCTACGTGCATTGGCACGGTTCATAAATTTGCCACTGGAAAGCCAACTACAACAATTCAATTCTTTAATCCTTTCAGAATTATCTAGTTAGAAAAAGGAAAAGATGAATCAGTGTTAAGGGTAACAAGACATCAAACTGAGGGGCATGTGAACATCAAATAAGTGAAACTACGAGGAAATATATTGGAATTTTACACTAAATAACCTAAGATATCCATCAAGGCTCCGCTTCATCACCCCCATAAGAAAATTAGGAAATATTTTTAATGCCTCTTGGATGCTAATGTTCGGTCACAAGATTCATAAGCCATATATTAATATGATTATATACCTTCCTGTGTTTGGCTTTCAGCTTTCCATCAGTACCAAAAATACAACAAGCATTATACAATTTATCCCCTGAGCGCTCTGCTATTGAGCCACCAACTATAGTGACCTTTAGTCGACGAGAAACTTCAGATAACATGGCTGTTGAAGGAGAGGCATCACCACCGGCTTCAATATCCTCCGCATAAACTGGGAAGCTATCATTTGAATAAGGACCATTCCAAATTTCCTGTCACACGCAGAAAAAAAGCCCTAAAACAACGAAATACCACCGGGAAAACTTAAAATACACCAAACAAACAACAATTTCAAAATCTACAAGCTCACCGGCAAGACAACAAGCTGGGCGCCTTTTTCCACAGCCTCCTCAATGGCCTTACGAGCATGTTCAATGTTCCTTTGCTTATCAGGCGTCACCATCAATTGGCATAGGCCGATTTTAAACTACATCGAAACAGGTCAGAAATACCGACGCTCACATTAATCAACGAAACAAAAACATGCTGAGATAAGTAAGGTCGACAAACTAACCTTGGTGACCGGAGGGATTGGCAACGGAAGTGCAGGTGGAGACCTAGCTTGTTCGGGATTGAAGGATGAGGCCATAATCGGCGAGGACTTGTTGGAATGGAAACGACACTTGCGGCGCAGACTGGTAAAATTGGCGCCGGTGGCCTTATCGTCAGTAGATATGACCGGAAATTGAGATGGTAGAAGCAGAGATGGCCGCCGGAAGATGGAGAAGGAGAGGGAAGATCGGTGAAGATTGAAATTTCTGGAGCTAATCAACGAAGAAATGGCAGATTTCATTTGTCTCTTGAGAATGTTTTCCAGCTATCTATATCAGCAGTTTCTTTCAATCGGTGTGGACTGTAATTGCAAATCGTATTTGTACTAACGGCGTCGTTCAAAGTTCGTTGCCAACGACGTCGTTTATATTTTCCCTCTTTTAATTTCATTAATTGTTTTATTTTATTATTTTATTAAAGTTAAAAAGCGTAAATTACGAATTTGACATCATGTCAAAAAAGAAAAAAAGGTACGATTACAGAATAATTTTAATTACATAGTTGCCACATTGAATACATTAATGTTTATATATTAACTTTTAAATTAAAGTAATTAAAAAAATTATTAAATTATATTTAAAATGCCATTTTTATTATGAAAGTGAGTACTATTTTAACAAGGTCTTTTAAGACATTTGGATCACCTTTCCATAATTATTTTATAGAATAAATACATTTTTAATTTTCCAATAAAAAATAGATAAAAAAAATTATACAAATATATCCAAGCTAAAATTAATTATAAAGAAAATGTTATCAATTTAAATAAAATTATTTTAAAATTTATTAATTAATTAATTTTATGAATATTATGTCATTATGATGACATGATTTTACAGTTTTTTGAGATATTAACGTATTAATTATAGATTTACATAAGTCTAAAGGGTATATCTGTAATTTACTAAAAGACCGTGGCTATTTCTTGGTGGGAGCACAGACTTATTCTGAAACCGACCTGACCAAATCACCACCTCGCAGCCTTTCAAAACCCAACCGCCCGCCGGCGACCAACGGTAATAAACTACCTTCCCGCGCTTTAACGATTACTCCCCTTCACTCACAATCATCCTCCTCCAATGGCGGATTCAGGGGACAGCGAGTTCCCGCTATGGAATTTCCATCAAAACTCCCCGCTTTTCACCGACGACAATATTCTCAGTTTCATGGCCAATATCAAACCCACCGCCGCTGAACTAATCGCCAACTCCGCCGCCAATGACCAAAAATTCCCACCGCCCTCTTCCACTTCCGGCGAAGCTGAGATAGAGTACTGGAGTTCTACTGTACTCGACCCCTCCAGTTATCACTGCTTCCCCGGCGAAACCCATTTTCCAAATCCTGGTTATGGCGGCGACGGCGGTGGTTACAGTAGTACCCAATTTTCGATCACCCCTGAAATTCATACCTTTCAACCCATCACTTGTAGTTGTTGCTTAATTCTCAGAGAAATCGTTCATACAAATGGTTAGTTCTTCAATTATTATGTCTTGTTCTTTCCCCTTTTCCGACAGGACAATTCCATGCTCTGTTTCTTAGTGAAATTCCTCCATTGAAGGTATTAATACGAGAAAGCTCGAGATACATGGAAGATTCGGAATATTGTGGCATGCTATTCTGCAAGAAACTTTTCCGACAAATCCTTCAAACATCAACCAGTACAAAATGTTTGAGTAAGCTGGATCAAATACTCTGTTTATTTGTTTTAAAAGCTTTAATATAATGAACAATGGATGTGTATCAGTTTCTCGAAGAAGGGGACGGACGAAGTGAAGCAGTTCATAATGCAACACTATTTGAACCAAATGTTTGATGAGTACACAGCTATACATGAGCCATTGTCGGATTTTTATGATGTTTTGTGCATTGGGTTGGATTGGAATGATGAAAGCCCTCTGTTATCGCCGCATAATTACTCTCAACCACTCCCGCTCGACCCAGGTTCTTGTTTCCCTTCTTCTTATGAATTTTTCGACTGGACTTTTGTTTACTGGTTCATGGCGGCAGTTGCAGAGAGAGAAGACGATGAAGAAGAGAGAGAAGATCAAATGGAAATGGATCAACAGCCTGATCAGTCGCCAGAATTGGGTCGCCAGCGAGTTCCTCAAACACCACTTGCAAGACAGGTCAGTAAAAATCCTCATATAAAGCAAGCAATTCGTAAAAACAGAGCAAAACAGAGTAAAACAGATTAAACAGAGAGCTCTGTTTTTTTGAATCGTTACAGAGGCAGAGAGCAGGAAGAATGACGGTGAACGATTTGAAAGAATATCTTCACCTTCCGATCAGTGAAGCAGCCAAGAAGATGAACCTCTGTCTCACCGTCGTTAAGAAAATCTGCCGCCGGAGTGGGCTCCGCCGCTGGCCTTACAGAAAGGTCCCTTTTTTTTTCCTTGTTCTTCCATTTTGCTCCCTAGAAGTTTCCATTTTTACGGTTGTTTTCATGGAAACAAAACTGGGTTTTATAGGTGAAGAGTTATCAGAGGAAGATGGGAGCTTTGGGGATGAGATTGAGATCTAGAGATGCTGAAACGAGGACCATAGCCGAGGCTGAAATGGACAGGCTGCGCCAAGAACTCGCTCAGTTATGTGCTGGAATTGTACCTGGTTAAAACGTCGTCGTTTTTGTTATTTTTTCCCATTTTTATTTTTATTTATTATTTTTTTTTTGTGAGTTTTTTCGTAATTTAATAAAATAGTGATATTAGCTAAGCATTGACAGATCCCATGTAGTAATAAAGAAATTGAAACCACCAAACTCCCAGACGTAAAGTCCTAAAATCCCACACTCTTGAGATGTTCGAAACATATTCAACAAATAATCAGATCCAATGTCACAACTTTCTTGAATTTAAGCTCAAAAACTCGAACCCAATATATCTCACAACTGATCTTTCGAGATCTCGAAAATGAGTAGTCTTCCAACGGTCGTTTGTGTGAAAAGAGTGAAGCAAGAAGCTATGGAGGATTGGGACGAGACGATGCCATTACCAGGTGATGTAATTGAAGGTGTTGCTGAAGACAATGACGAGGAGCTGTTCGTTTCGACGAAGATCAAGGCTGATCTCAGTTCGCATCTTGCTAAGATCAGCCAGCAGTTTGAGGTTGTGTGGCTGAAGGTTAAGCGTGGAGATGCCTCGCTTAAGCTTCGAGCACGTATCGTACAAGAGAAGGTGTCGATTTTGCATAGGAAGTTCACTGTTAGAGCTGCAACCGACGATCGACATGTTGTGGTACTCGGTGATCTCACCTTTGACAAGTGCAATGAACTGCAGGGTGGGTTAGTTTTACTCCATTGTTGTTCTATAAGTGGCAGCTTGAAATGTAACAGAGTTTGATGTTGCAGAAATGAGTAGAAGAATATCAAACCCGGATGGAGCAGAATTCAACAGAAGAGGTGTGAAGTATGAATGGAGCAAAAAACTCGACCTGCATCTACCCGATCATCGTTCTTCGGTCATAAGCTCCATCCTGTTCGTGCCACTGCGGGGAGAGCACTCCATGGAGGCCACGACTAGCCGGTGTATGGCCTGGTTTTGTGCTGCAGTTTCTTCAGGAGCACCTCTTGTCTTTGTCAATATTCAATCAGAACAGATAGTTAATGTAACTCAGGTAATACACATTCGCATGATCGTTGACAATCCCATCTGCAAATCGGCTGTCGAATCTCATTAGTTCGGTTTAAATTTTTGTTCTTATGAAGGACAAAAATCGAAGAACAGGAAAAGAATCATGGTGGAGCAAGCAACAAAACAACACTCCAAACCTGATGGTTGTGCATGGGATAAGGCTATGGTTTCTTCCTGGAGTATCAGAAGTTCCACTTGAAATGGTTCCTGCATCAGGAGAAGTTCGTTTCGGAATGGATATCCAACGAACTGACGAGGTATTTAAAGATCCATTTCCACGCCATTTACTTATCGAGTTCAAAAACTTGGAGAACTGATGCCATTTTGATGCAGGGGTTCATCAGTGTCAGCGCGGTGACAAAAGGCTCCGCAGCTGACCGTTGTGGGCTTGGAAGCCTCTTGGAAGAAGCAAAGGCAACCAACCATCTCTTGTTGATATCTCGATTGGAAGGAAAGAGCGTAATCCCATCAAACGTAAGCTCTACCGGACTAATTCACTGCTGCGACCAAGCCGAGATAAGAAGCACTCTTGTATCTGCAATGGATAGAATGGACAACGTGAGACTCCATATCATGGCTTTACCTGATGGGTCCGATGCTCAGGCAAATGAAACGTCTAATAAGCTTCGAACAACCCGAAAACTTTTCCCTTAAACGAACATCACTCGAATCCTCACATTCAATATAATGTAATTCCTGTTGTATGAAAATGTTTGTAAAATAGATGAAAATGGTGTTAATTTTGTGTTCATATAAGTCATTGGACAGACATCAAACAGATTTCGACAAAGTCAGCTGAAACAAACAAGACATTATTGGATTTCTTGAACAAAAACTAGGAAGGACTTTCATGTCTTGTAAACTTACCAGCTAGTAGCCATACAGAACAGACAAGCCATAACGTTTTCGTTTTTCTGTTTTTTATTTATGGTTTAGAAAAAACTCGAATAACTAACACGAAACAAGAGACAAGAAACATGATATGTTTGACGATATTAAGCAGGCCGTCCATTCTCATGCAAATATCCTCTCCACAACGTTTTGTTTTGGCTTGACGAATGCAACATTAATGAAAGTAAGACTACCCTTGGAGTCTAAGTAGTTCGAGGCATTTTTATTTTCACATAGAAAGTCATTCTAAACAGATCAATTTCTCGGAATAAGTACAAAAGGACGGGAAGAAACAAAAGACAGAAAGATGAGAGTTCACCTGTTGAGAGTCTGGTGACCATTGGCTACTTTGATTGTTCTTAAAAGGATGACCCACTGTTGCTATTATAGAAGGAAAGCAAATACAATTCAATTCGAACCCTGAATCCTCGTCTCTCACTGTGCAGATCGAATCGTCAAACCAAGCCCGTGTTAGTTTGTTTTGTTCTCATCTGCATATGAAAGGAGAAGAAAGAAAAGAAATAATAAGTATCAATTCGAACAAACAGCGACAAATATAATTACAGAACATCAAACACGAGTAGTTAAATGTTAGCAGTGCGAGTTTATGAACATTTGAAAATCTCTCCAGTTCCTGTTAGATCTCCCAAGATAAAACTTAAAAATCTATAATCATTGTTCTTGGAACTGGACTGATTGTGAACGATGCCTACCAATGGATTAGTCGGGTAGGCCATGAGCACGAGGTAACGATTTTCAATTTCCTCGCCCATCGTCTTCCCAGAATCAAACTCTAAACATTCCCAACAACAAAATTTGACTCTTAGAAGTTGAACTACTAAAAGAACGATTAAAGAAATCGAATGTTGACGGTCGATTATATTTCTTATTAGCACGAACGTTTGTACAAGAGAAATGAAAGGGAAAAAAATGAATTGCCTTATTGTTGAGGTATGAACACTACAAGTTTTCATGCCATATTCAATATGATCTTGAATAAAGTTCACCAGAAAAAAGATAAAGAAAAGGGCATTACATTATCTGCCTCTAGGAATATATCCAAGCCAATGTAATCCAGCTAAGGCGATCAGCTCAAGCAATCTTGGTTCTTAGCAGATAGCCGTTTGAGAAACTCATAGGTCGTGATCATGGTGGTGGCTGACATAGCCATCGATGCCCACCTCGGCCCGAGCCCTCTGTAACAGGCATTCAACCCACCTTCCTTCATCAAGTTTCTTACGGTCTGCAATGCCGTTAGAGGTCGTCTTTGACCATTTTCTTCTCCATCCAAAACTTGCAATCTAGTCTTGATGGTATCTAGAGGCATTGTTATGATGGCAGAAACCCCACTGGCCAAGGCTGCACTCAAGCCCTGAATAGCCACTGTTGCCTTAGAATCTGGTTTGAAGGCATACCCAGCAGTATTAAAACTCTCATCGTTGTTACTATTGTAGTAGCCTAAACCACTCCAAATAAGCCTGTGAGCGACAGAGTAAGAAGCCCACCAAACAGCATTTGATGGAGCATATGTCAAGATTGATATCCCAAATCCTCTATATAATCCTCGAAAACCATCCGCATAAACGATCTTTCGAAAAGCGTCAATACCATTCTTATAGACGCAAGAATTAAGGTTTTTAACACTGTTATTGCAGCCCTGAACCATTAGTCTTTGGCTCACAACATCTATAGGAGTCCAGACCAATTGAGCAGCCATAGCCGAGCTCAACCCAGCAGCTCCATTAGCTATAGCCATGGCTGTAGTGTCTGAAAAACCTAATCTAACCGTTGCACTACCAACGCCACTCTTGGTAACTTCAAGAGCTGTCATGTAAAAGGCTCGAGCTGGGATAGTTCCCATTAAAGAGGTTCCAAACCCTCTGTAAAATCCTCTTAAACCTTCATGGCGCATGATAGAATATGACATGTTAAAGCTTGATAGCTTAGTAGCAGAAACCTGAAGCCGAGTTTTCAGAACAACAATAGGGTAAAGAGCAGTTGATACACCTGAAAATAAAGCAGCACCCAGAAAAAAGAATTTGGATTTGTCTAACATATCCCAATCAATCTCTGCTGGAATATGAATTTCTGAAGTCGATTCATCCTCCGCTGCATTCAGGCTCATCTTAGCCAGTTCTAAAGCTAATACAAAACTACCCCAGAAACCAGAAACCAGATAAACCCTTTTCCTTCTCTAAACTATGTAACAACAATGAAATACAGAAAACACCCAAATGAAAGGGATCGTCAGAATCAAAAGGGAGATCAGAAGCTGACCTACAAGAGATTATAACAGTAGTAATTGGAACAAATATGTTTTCTCAGGCAATAAATTGAAAGATACAACTCATCTCACCATGGATTCCAATACGATCATGGCAGTAAAGCGGAAGAAAATCGAACTTAGATGATTTCAGCCCAAGAAAACACAAACCCAGATAGAAAAAACCACTAAAATCAAAAAGGAGAAAAACCCAGAACTCAGTGGGGAAAATTGAAAGCGAAAATGGAGGCGAGAGCTGAAGGGAGGAAGAAAAAACAAGATTTATGGAGTTTCGCGAGGGTTTTGAAGATGGAGGAGGGAGGACACGTGTCCATCACCATGTCGAGCTCATTTTTATATATGAGGCTCTTTTAATAACAAACCCAAAAGGGTTTTTGTACCCTCCATGATTCTGTGGGTTATCCATTTGGGTTTTGGTTTCTTCTGCTGCTCCCATTCTCTTCCAAGTTTACGCTTCCATCAACAAAAATCACCCAATTCTTACAATAGACCCATCAAAATGCAGAAGTCAGATCATTAGTGTTCTTATTTTTTTCGTCTTCTTTATTGTTTTCTGCAAATCTTATTGAAATCCCCATTTTTGGTTGGTGAAGAAGCAGAGTTCAGGCAACAGACCCAGATGAGCCCATAGTTTTTCCTCTGACACAATCATAAGTCTTCATTTTCGTCACTTCAGTTGACGGCTTCGTTTTTGTTGCTCAATCTATTTGCAAATCCATGGTCGGTTTTTGGACGATTTAAGGAAACCATTGGCTCTTGCCTCTTGGTTCACTCAATACATTACGGCGAGGAAAGAATGGGACGCGTTTTATTGAAATTGTGCCGGTGTTGCCTCAGGCCCATTTTTAACTGATCCGTTCCGGAAGCCCATTACGAACGTGAGCTCTATGGGGCCGGGTATTGGGGTTGGGCTTTGTTGGTTGGTTCTTACGTGTCGAAATGTTTTCGGCCGGTTACTCCACGTCATACCAGGTCAAAAGGCCACGTGGAGATAGTTTCATAGATGGACTATCCACGTGTGTGGCATCTTGTAAAGATAAATCCACCGAATACTTCCGCTGTGGCACATCAAAACCATCTCCCCTGGCTCCTACTACCGAATATTTCTTATTTTTATTTATTTTAATTACTTTACTTTAAAGAAATTATATGTATATATTAAAATATAGACATAAAATTAGACATTTGTTTCACTAAATGCAGATCCCAACCATTATATAAACCCAAGACGCACCCATTTGAACCCAGACGGTCACACCACCATCACCAAAAAAGAGAAATGGAGTTAGCCAGAATGGGGTTGGACCCAATATTCCTGAATGCCCTCCATGACCTTCTGGACTTCACCGATGAGCCAGGGCAGAGCACCCACCACGGGCCGTCACGCGCCTACGTGAGGGACGCAAAGGCGATGGCGGCGACACCAGCCGATGTGGTAGAATATCCAAACGCCTACCAATTCTCCATCGACATGCCTGGCCTCAAAATGGACCAAATCAAGGTCCAAATCGAGGACAACCAGTTGGTTGTGACCGGCGAAAGGAAGAGAGAAAGTGAAAAGGCTAAGGAAGGGAAATACGTGACAATGGAGAGGAGGCTGGGCAAATACTTGAAGAAATTTGTGCTGCCGGAGGCCGCCGACGTTGACAAAGTATCGGCGGCGTACCAGGACGGAGTGCTGTCGGTCACGGTGGAGAAGAAGCCGCCGCCAGAGCCCAAAAAGGCCAAGACTATTGAGGTTCGTGTGGGACAAGATTGATCGTATGAGTGAGCCTTGTTTTGTTTTGGTTTGTAATATATTGCAACTTTTGTATGGTGTTTTGTTTGGTTTGTTTTGGCCGATTGTTCATAATGTAATAATGTTTACAATAAATTTAGACTATGAACCCTCATAAATATTTATAAGGCCAAAATTCAACGTAACACCCTTATAATTATAATTGTGGAAAAATCTTTTCCGAACCCCCGAACTTTATAATGGTATCAAAGCCAAACATTAGACAGACGATATGCCAGTGAGGGGTCCTTTTTGAAGGGTAGACAAGAGGCGACATGTCTTGGACCCCTCGAGAGGTTCCACGTCGATGAGAAAGGAATGAGTCCAAAAGATCTAACTTCATTTCAAAATTATTGAATTGAGCAAATGACTAATTTGTCCAACAAAATTGAACAATTTACTAAATAGGAAAACCAAATAAAATGTTTCTTATGGAATATTCTGTCACATTCTAGAACTCAACGCGAATGCAGCCGAAGCTCCTGGAACCTCCTTCCGAACTCTTCTCCATCTTTCCAGAAAATTCCTCTCTTCACACAGCATACACCTATAAATAACCAAGCCAACCGCTCTCCCATACCCACACCAAAGCAGCTCTACCAGATCATCTCTTACAACCAAAATCTCCTTCGCACCAACATTCCCTTGAGCATCAAACATTTCTCCCGTTAACAAGCGAAAGATGGATCTAAGAATCATGGGCTTAGACTCCCCAATCTTCTCCACCCTCCACCACGTTATGGATCTCGTCGACGAGGCCGACAAGTCGTTCAACGCCCCGACACGAACCTACGTCCGGGATGCCAATGCCATGGCAGCCACTCCGGCCGACATCAAGGAGTATCCAAATTCCTACGTTTTCGTCGTCGACATGCCAGGGCTGAAGGTTGGCGACATCAAGGTTCAGGTTGAGGACGACAATGTGCTACTGATAAGTGGCGAGAGGAAGAGGGAGGAGGAGAAAGAAGGGGCGAAGTATGTGAGGATGGAGAGGAGAGTTGGCAAGTTAATGAGGAAATTTGTGTTGCCGGAAAATGCCAACATTGATGCCATCTCGGCGGTTTGTCAGGATGGTGTGCTCACCGTGACGGTCCAAAAGTTGCCACCACCTGAGCCCAAGAAGCCCAAGGTGGTTGAGGTCAAGGTCAATTGATGGGTTTGGTTCATGAGTTTTCAGAATATGGCCCTGCTGGTTTTCTCCTTTAATTTTCTTCCTTTTTGGTGGTGTTTTGTGTGGTAATGTCTGTAATGTGGGTTGCCTCTGTAGTGTGTGCTTGATGGTTTATGTCAATGAATATTTACAGGTTTCATCAGAAATGTCGAATCTTTTACTACTGTGCTGTGTGATTTGTTTCTCCAAAGCTTAGCAGAATTCTAGACTTGAAAACAACACTAAAAACCTAGGCAAGAATTGTAATTTCTACTAACCTGGGCGGAGATGCTGAAGAATCCCACTGGTTCCTACAGCTAAACCGAACCAATGTGTTCATACTTCACGCCTGCAAAAATTGGGAGACCACGCCGCTGCCACAGTGGGAACATTTACCAGCTGATTACCAGTAGGACATGGCAAAAGGTTAGATGTTTGTCTTCTACCTACTTGAGGCAAATTGCGAAGTGTTCCGATCTCTAAGCAATGATGGCTGCGCCATTATTTACTACCATCGTTTTGTCAAAACCTAGGGAGCAATGGGATTGTGTCTTGTAAAGGCTTAAAGCTATAATGCTCGGCTAATCCAACATCTAAGCGGTCATCATTTTTTAAATGAAAAATGAAAAAAAAAAAAATACTACAATGACACAGTCGTAGTTTCAGTTATTCGCCATAGGGCTTCAAGAAAATATAATCACTTTGGAGTTGAGCAGAACTTACTTTGGATAATGAAGGATCTTCTGGATTGAGATCAAGGAAATCCCCCTCGAAAACTTCTTACAATCAAATTAACATAAACGTAACATTTTCTATGAGGGTGTGGAAATCTCTTCTTAACAGACGCGTTTTAAAAACCTTAAGGAGAAGCTCGAAAGAAAAAAATCTAAAGATGATAATATCTGTTAGTAGTGGATTTGGGCCGTTACAAATTGTATCAAAGCCAGACACCGGGTGATGTGCCAGCAAAGAGGTTGAACACCGAAGGGATTTGGATTGGGGGATTCCACACCGATTAGAGAACGGAATGAGTGCTATCGAGGAGGCTTAGCCCCAAAGGGAGTTGAATTGGGGGTCTCACATCAATTGGAGAAGGGAACGAGTGCCAGCAAGGACGCTAGCCCCGAAGGAGGGTGGATTGTGAGATCTCATATCGGTTGGGGAGGAGTACGAAACATTGTTTATAAGGGTGTAGAAACCTCTTCCTAGCATACAGTTTTAAAAACTTTGAGGGGAAGTTCGAAAGGGAAAGCTCAAAGAGGACAATATCGGTTAGCGGGGTTGAGCGGTTGGAAAATATTGGATTTCAGAAATTAAAACTTTTTCAAGAAAATTGCTGGTAATGCTTCAATCTTCAACCCATTAAAATGACAGGCTCACATGCAAAGCCAAATAGAGAAATAATCTAATAACGAAAGGAAGGGAGGATACTCGGAGGCATTGAGAAAACGATGAAAGAACGAAAGATGAACTTGGATGGTAAATACAAATGAGATGATCTTACTTCCCATCCTGGCTTGGGATCAAGAGCTACAGCAACCATAGAACTAGCCTTCCCCAACAAACATCAACTCCCTCTTGTAATACAATAAGAAGAAAGAACAACAACCCTTGACCTCCAATGCATGCTTTCTAATCAATGGACTGGATAAAACTAGAGACTTACTTGCATGAAGATGCTCCCATTTTCGCAACCAGAGGATGATCATGTAAATCACTGCCTGGAGTGAGTACCAAGAGGTTAGGAACCATGTCATCCTTCTGTGTACCTATTTGACATAAAAACCAGCACCATTAAGGAATTTTTTTAAGGCATCGTGATGAAATACAGACCTTACCAAGAACAAAAGTCAAGACAGACTTTATCTCGCTGCAAGAGAAACACCTCTGCATCGCCAAATGAAGGAATTTTCTACACACAGTTCCCATAAAATATATCCAATCAGCATCAAATGTAAAATAGGCCAGCTGCAACATATATATATATATATCTATATCACGTGTATTGAACTGCATGAAATGGCCTCCAAACTCCTAGCAGACCCAGTAATTCTTCTTATTAGCAGACCCTGTAATTCTTCTTCGTGATATAAGAGTTAAGAATTATGACAGTACATCTTCCTGTCAACTTACAACAATAGGTACAGTTCAAAGCCATGCCAATAGAGTCATTATTGGACATAGACAAACTCATTTCGAGTAAAGGAATTTAAAAGGTCCTGATGGTCAGCACAGAATATGAACAACAACAAATCCTCCCCCAATTTGTCCATCTCTCATAAAACGTTTTCAGAGTCGACCCTTTAATGAGAATGCTTTTATGTTAAGATAAGAGAAACATGTGAATAAAATACCTGGCCGAGGAGGATATCATACATGATGATATAAATTAATTCCTTCTGCCTCTACAATAATATTAGACTAATGTTAATGTATATTTGAAGTGACCAAGAAATCTATTCAAACAGAATTAGCTAGAACTCGATAAAGTTGTAAGAAGCAAATGAACTAGAAACAATCATAGTAAAAGAGCAGCTACAAAGAAGATGAGCGAGTACCTTCCATTTATTGCTCAATACATCAGCAGCATCCAGTACATCCTTCATTACAGGGAGGTCTAGCAAAACAGCCAAAGCAACTGAAGTTTTTCAGTTTATCCAGAAAGCTACAAAATAAACTTCAACTAATGCAATATCACCAGATTTCAGAGGAGCGAGGCAAAATCTAATCAACCAAGATGATCACAGAATCATTCATATCAAATAAGTAGGATTTTCAATTTTTCGTCCAATTAATTGCTGTATGCTATCTCCAGTCGGAAGCTGCAAAGCTAAAACAGTCTGCATAATTATGGTATTGAGTTCATATTCAAATACAATGGAAAATGTGTGTTTTGGAATCACGTCTATCCACAATGGTATGATATTGTCTATTTTGAGTATAATTTCTTATGGCTTTGCTTTTGGTTTCTCCAAAAGATCTCATAGCAATGGAGATTAGCCGATGTGGGACTCCTCGCCTAACAATCTTCAACAATCCTCCCCTCAAACAAAGCATACTATAGAGCCTCCCTAAGGTCTATGGAGCCCTCAAACAGTCTCCTCTTAATCGAGTTTCGACTCCTTCTTTGAAGTCCTCGAACAAAGTTCCTTTGCTCGACACTAGAGTCACTTTTGATTACACCTTCGAAACTCACAATTTCTTTTTTCAACATTTAAGGATTCTATTGACATGACTAAATTAAGGGTACAACTTTGATACCATGTTAGGAATGACAACTCTCTACAAAGGTACGATATTGTCCACTTTAAGCATAAACTCTTGTGGCTTTGCTTTGGTTTCTCCAAAATGTCTAATACTGGTGGAGGAGATGTATTCCTTACTTATAAATTCATGATCAAACTATTTAATTAGCCAATGCGAGACTCTTCTCTCAACAATCATCCTGTGTAACTAAAACCAATAGTTCTATGGGCAAGTATATGAGAATCTATTTGAAAAATCATCTTCAGCATTTAACAAGGTACCCTTCTTATTCCTAACAGATGGAGCATAAACGAGCGACTTGATTGAAGCGACAGCTCGACGTTGATCCTTCAAGAACTCGCCGCAATATCTTCGCCGCCTCTCTCCTCGCGAAATATGCCGAACGCTCAGCGTTGCTCATCCGCCTGTTATCTTCTTTTCCGGCGGCCGATGGCTCCGCAGAAGACACACGCACTCTCCCAACTCCAGCGAGACCTTGTGAAGGCACAGAACCAATGAAATGACGTCGTATTACATGACAAAATCCTGGCCCTAAGTCTATTAAATTCCAGCTCATACCTCTTATATTTAATGTTTAGGGTTTCTAAAATTAACTTATATTCAAATTCGTACAAATATATAAATGTTATATTTAATGTTCCTAAAACTAACTTATAGTGTATTTAATGTTTAATATTTCTAAAACTAACTTATAATGAAATCCGTACAGATATATAAAACAAAATTTTAATTTTTTAACAACTTAGTTTATTTTTAGTTGGAAACTGTGAGACAGATCGAGACTTTGAGTGGTAGTTAGAACAGTGGAGGAAGAAGAGATAAGGCTAGAAGCCCGAGAATTTTACGAATCAGAGCTTTAGCCACTCAGAAATGGCGGAGCTTATTCAGGTGCCTTACGACGTCACTGTCCGTCTTGTAATGGCTTCACTCGAACGGAATTTCTTGCCGGACGCCGTCGTAAGAAGGTTCACCCGCTTGTTACTCGCCTCTCGCATTCGCTCCCAGTTCAAGCCTTCCGCTCAACTCCAACTCTCCGATTTTCTCCACTTTGTGCACGGTAAGTTGCGATTCCATAGCTATTACGTTTCAAGGAGATTGAACTAGGTAATTGGATTTATTGACGGAGGAGCATGTCTACTTTGAATCTGGCGGATTGTCAAATTTCAAGGAGATTCAACTAGTTGATTGTGCCTGTTTCTGCAGCTTTAAGGGAAATGCCAATTGCTATTAAGACTGATAAGCCAAAAGCTCAACATTACGAGCTTCCTACCTCGTTCTTCAAGTTAGTTTTGGGGAAGAATCTCAAGTACAGGTAGTGAAATACTTAGGAAGGTCTTACTGAGCGATTGGAAGAGTTTGCTTTCTATTCATGCGAATTTTCATTTGCGTTAAGATGATATGAATACGCAGATTCGAAATTAGGACTTGAAAATATTGTGTGATGCATGATGGAACGCTTAGTTTTTCGATTGAAAAAAACCAAGTGTGTATTAAAACAGAGATTTGCAGGTCATTTTGAGTAAGAAGCACAAGCAAACAACAAAAAGAGCTTCAAATAGCTTCAAGTTCTCTTAATCTGGTCAATTCACTAGCCCTTACATGATCTGTTGTTGCAGTTCATGCTATTTCAAGGACAAGTCAAGTACCTTGGAGGACGCAGAGGAGGCCATGCTACAAATGAGTTGTGAAAGATCACAACTGAAGGATGGCCACTCTGTTCTTGATGTTGGATGTGGCTGGGGGTCACTTTCGTTGTATATTGCCCAAAATTACAAGAATTGTCGGGTGACTGGAATTTGCAATTCAACCACACAGAAAGATTACATTGAGGAGCAGTGCCGGTAATTAGCTTTGTCTTGTATACCTCGAACTTTCCTTCAGATTTCTTAATAACCGTTAAAATTTGATATGTGGTTTCAGGGATCTCCAGCTGAATAATGTCAACATTATTGTTGCAGACATCAGCACTTTTGAAATGGAAGCTAAATATGACAGAATAATTTCCATTGAAATGTTTGAGGTAACTAAATTCCTGATGTAGTTCCATTTTGCTACCCACATCCTTAAATGGTTTGAAACTTTATTTATTTTTACCCGAGAGTAGCATATGAAGAACTACAAGGATCTTCTCAAGAAAATATCAGGCTGGATGAAACAGGATAGTCTCCTCTTTGTTCATCATTTTTGCCATAAAGTCTTTGCCTATCACTTTGAGGTACGGTTGATTCACATTTTTATATACATTGAGGTTTCTTAATGGCTAGAACCCTTATTATTGGTTTGATGCTGTTTGTAGTATACATCTTGATAAACAGGAATTATTATGTTTTGCTAACCATTTTATGGCCTCATCATTCAGGATAAAAATGAAGATGATTGGATTACTAGATACTTCTTCGATGGTGGCACGATGCCTTCTGCAAATCTACTCCTCTATTTTCAGGTGATACGCCCCCCTGCCCCTGTCAGACCTCACCTTAACATAGAATTATTCCTTCATTTAGTTGGGTAACAATCCAAGCTCACTGCTAATAGATAGTGTCCGCTTTGGCCCGTTATGTATCGTCGTCAGTCTCACGGTTTTAAAACACGTATGTTAGAGAGAAGTTTCCACACCCATATAAGGAATGCTTCGTTCGCCTCTTCAACCGATGTGGGATCTCACAATCCACCCCCTTGGGGACCCAGCGTCCTCGCCAGCACACCGCCCGGTGCCTAGCTCTAATACCATTTGTAACAACCCAAGCTCATCGCTAATAGATATTGTCCCCTTTAGGCTGTTACAAGTTTTCTTTTTTCGGTCTATAGTTCCTGACTGATAAGCATTTGTTTTAAACTGTTTGAAAAGACTAGTTGTCGAAACTTTATAAAACGAAAAGAAAATGGGAAACTTAGAAAAATGGGTATCTCTCCTGTTCTTTGTGTTCATCTAGATCGAGCGTGCGTTGTTGTGCGATCCTAACAATAACTATCTAACCTATCACCTAAGATGCACAAATAGATCATCTGTTTGAGAATTTCTACTTGTTTTTGCTATTAGTATTGATAATTATTTTCATTTCTTGCATTCCATCAAAGCATACCAAACATTTCAACTTGAGAATTATGACCATCTTGTTTTCATTTGATCTTGAATGTGAGAACTTTATAGTAAAACCACAAGAAGCTTCGACTTGAGTCGTAACATTTCGCTTGTTCCATACAGGACGAAGTGTCGATTGTCGATCATTGGCTTGTGAATGGCAAGCACTATTCTCAAACAAGGTACCTACCACCTTACACACATTTGGAGAACATAATATCTTCTCAAGTAAATGTTGAAGTCTCCTTGCCAAATTTGCCTTTATATTTTGGAATTGTGATTAAACACAATTTTAACACATCCTTTGCAGTGAAGAGTGGCTCAAAAGAATGGACAAGAACATAGCTTCAATAAAACCAATCATGGCAACTACTTATGGCAAGGATTCAGCTGTAAAGTGGACTGTTTATTGGAGAACATTCTTCATTGCAGTAGCCGAGTTATTTGGGTACAACAATGGGGAAGAATGGATGGTTTGCCATTTACTATTCAAGAAGAAATGATGCAAAAGCAGCAAAGCTTCAATTATCTAAGCGGCCATAAGAACAAGGTGCGAATTTTATGAACTTGGACTGATTTTCTTCCTTTGAACTTTATGAATTTGGTGAAGCCATATGATCCATAGGTCTTGTAATAACAGTTTTTGCCATTGCGGTGCAAGAGCTGATTACAATATTTGTATTAGTGCTGAATCTTGGTCGGATTATTGGCACCATGAGGTGCCTCTACGACCTTTTTTCCAAAACGTTCTAGGTAGTTCGGTGATGAATTGTTTGCACTAAATTTGAACTTAATTGATCTGTAGTTTATGTAGTCTAAATATGCAACTTTCGGTAGCGGTAAGAGATTCGAAGGTATATATCATAATCAATTGAATAATATCTAAGTCAACTATATTTATATTTAAATTGCAGTTAGGCGCTGTATTTTATTAGAAAGCATCTTTTATTTAAATTTTTTAATTTCAAATTCAAACGCCAAAAAATACATTTTATTTTGTCTTTATGATTTTAAAAGTTTTCCTATGATTTAATAATTTTTTGTATATAGGAAACTAAAAGTTAACATACCCAATTGTTGTTGGTAACAGTCACAACCATATTCAATTAATGTAATTATGGTTATATATACTTTAATTTATTTTGATAAATACAAATATGTTAAATTAATGTAATTGGGGATATTTTTTAAATACTTACAATTAATCACCAATTAAATTTATTATTTTATTAACAACTAATTAATTTGTATTAATACTTCTGAATTAATTTTGATTATTTTATTCGTTAAACTACTAAAATCATTCAAGATTATCTAATTAGTTACGTGAAATAAATCTTAACTATTTAAAGATATGATATATATATTTAGTACCACAAAAATATAATTATTTGAAAAGATGGAGAATATATGCAACAATCATAATAAAGAATATATATAGATATTATAAATTATTTAAAATAGACTATGTTTTATAATTAAGAATATATAGGACAATTATTGAAAAGTTAAAGAATATATAGGACAATTATACTTTATATTATACAAGTTCGAGGGTTAAAAAATTAAATTTATCCTTAATCTTATAATTATTTTTGTCGTGTAATTAATTTTTACTATAAGTAGTAATGATGGGCACAAAATTAAGTTTGACAAATAGAAAAAATAAATCACTAAATAAATATTATAAAATAAATAAATAAAAACTAACAAAAATCCAGCCCTAAACTCGTTTATCGCCATTTTTTAAATCAAATTTGTAATTTATTATATATATAAAAAGAAAAAAAAAAGTAATTATATAAATAAATACAGTCATAGTCTTCATCTGCAGTGTTTGAAGTTTCAGATTGAAATTGCCGATTCATTCGCCGATGGATCAATTCAGAAATCAACCGCGGCTCCCGAAATTTGCCGTTCCAAAACGATACGACATCAGCCTCAAACCGGACCTCTGTCTCTGTAAATTCTCTGGTTCTGTAGCAATCGATGTCGATATCCTTTCCGATACTCGATTTTTGGTGCTCAATGCTGCCGACCTTCATGTCGATGATGCTTCTGTTTCCTTCAAGCATCGGAGCTCCTCCAAGGTATTGAATCGATCTCTCTTTATGACTTGAGACTCCACGTTAGGGGCGTTCGAGGATTGTAAGGAAAAAAGTGGAAGAATGAAGGGGAATGATGTGGATTTTTTTTTTTTTATGCATGTTTTTTATTCCGTTCTTGATTTGTTTATGTACGTTTATTATTCATTTTCAGCTATTGAGATGGAAATGGATTTTTACGGTGTTAGATTTCGTAGTTAATGGTCGAGTTTGGAGTATGAACTTCCTACCATGCTCGTTATACTTCTGAAATTTCACGATAGCTGGTGCTGTTTTTTTGTTTCATTTGAGCATTTGAAGCTTGGAATCTGCAATGATTTCTCAGCTTTTTTACTAGGCTATATAAAAATGTTTAGTCGACAAAATGTTATGAAAACATGAATTCTATATATTTTCTCACGATTGGTGTTCAGCTATCGTGTGCTTCCTATCATAGGAAAGCTTTTATGCATTTTCTATTTTATCTGAAATTATTTGACGAACAATTGTTGGGCCAGATTTTCCAGCCTTCAAGTATTCAAGCTTGTGAAGAGAACCAAATTTTTGTTTTGGAGTTTGCAGAGACGCTACCAACTGGGTCAGGAACATTGTCTATCAATTTCGACGGAATCTTGAATGATAAAATGAAAGGATTCTATAGAAGGTAATTTTTTTGGCATGTGAGAGCTTAAGTTCGATGAATGGAAATGAGAAAGATCATTTTGCTGGGATGAAAATGTTGGACCTTTATGGATTATGAAAAAAGAGAACTTGATATTGCAGGGAAATTTGTTAATGGTAAAGGTGTAACTGGTTCTCTTAATAAGTTTTAACTCCTAGCTGTGCACATCTTAAACTCATAAGAAATATTATTAGTTTTGAGGAATTTGAAGGTTCAAGAAATGATATCATTTTTAGTTCGTAAGAATTTTAAAAAAGATTGTACTTCTCATTCGCATCCAAGTCCTCAAAAGTTTTGATATAGCGATTATATAACTAGCCTGAGTTATAGGAAAGCAAAAGAGAAGATACTTCTTGTAATCATTCATGTTTTCATATGATGAAGAAGGTTTTACGATTCCTAATTTATGGCAAAATTAGAAATAAGTACTATAAAAAAAAATAAAAAGATGTCAGCATTTTGGAACAATGGAACTTCAAGAATAAGAGATTGGGAAGGACTTCTTCTTCTTCTTTTTTTCTTTTTTTCCCTCTTTTTTTGTATCTTCAAGTTATTCGTTATGTCTTTGTACTTTTACAATGGGCCACTAGCTTGCAGTGTGTTGAACTACACGTATCCCAATCTGTATGGATAATTGTCAGTAATTTCATTTCTTCTGTTGCCTCAATTTCTTAGCAACGGAGCAGTGATTACTTTTGCTTCTTTTTGAACTTGAATGATAAGAATTTTCTTTGTTGCCCAGCACTTATGAGCACAATGGTGAGAAGAAAAATATGGCTGTTACACAATTTGAACCTGTTGATGCTAGACGTTGCTTCCCTTGCTGGGATGAACCTGCTTTTAAGGTGTTAGCATATCTCTTTCCATCTCTCTCCCTTTTTCCCTCTATGGAGATCTAAACCCCTTTAGTTCATCTACTAAAACCTTGAAGTGATTATTCCCATCGCCATGTTGAAGCGACACAGAAATAGCACTGCCAAAATTTATCTTAATTTATGTTACTTTTTAGTCACTTGAAATTTGACCTGGTTTCCATTTTGGTCCATATGTATTCAACAGTTCTAATATAGTTCCCCATCTTTAATAAAATATGATATTTATTCTATGTTGTTAACTTTTTTTTTTTTTTTGGTATGTCGAGTAGGATAGACAATTCAAATTAGAGGAATCATTTTGTGAAGTTTTTTATATTGTTAGATGTGAAAATGTGCTGTCAAGGGAAGTAGATTTCACATTTATAAAAGTACATTTTTAATTGCATTTTCTTGCAATATTCAAGTTGTTGAAAAGTTTGCCCATCAAATGAGATATGTTCGTATGTTACTTCTAATTTGATAAAATGAATGATGAAATAACTTATTGAGACTAATTGTGGCTTTTAATGAAACTTATGAACTAATTGTACATTTTAATTTAAAGAGAAATTACGTCAAAATTGAGAGGCTGGAATCATGTTTAAACCTTTAGCGTATTTCTACCCAATTGGAACTCCTACCTAGTCATTGCTTTAATCTGTTCATTGTTGACAAGCAGGCTACATTCAAAATCACGTTAGATGTACCATCTGAACTAATAGCACTTTCCAACATGCCAATTATTGAAGAAAAAGTGAATGGGCATCTAAAGACGGTTACATATCAAGAATCACCAATTATGTCCACATATTTAGTGGCCATGGTTGTTGGTTTATTTGATTATGTGGAAGATCATACAGTTGATGGTAAAATCATAAATCAGAGTTTCTTACGCATACTGTAGGTACTGTTAATAATAGCTTGAATTGACATCTTAACAGGGGTGAAAGTTCGTGTATACTGTCAAGTTGGAAAGGCAAATCAAGGAAAATTTGCGTTACATGTCGCTGTGAAGACTCTTGACCTATACAAGGAGTATGTTGGTCCATACAGTATTATTCATCCTGTTTAGAAACTTTCTTTATTTTCTTCATAAACAGTGGTGCAACTTCTGCAGATATTTTGCTTGCCCATACTCCCTGCCAAAACTCGACATGATTGCAATTCCAGACTTCGCTGCTGGGGCCATGGAAAACTATGGTTTAGTTACCTACAGGGAGACTGCTTTACTTTATGATGATCAGCACTCAGCAGCTGCCAACAAACAGAGGGTGATCTGCATATCCAAGCCTTCTTAAAAACAAAAATTATATTCATAATTTGAATTGGAATGTTGCCAATTCCTTGACTTTTTATAATTTTTTATTTTCTCGTTGTTAAGGTGGCAACCGTCGTGGCTCATGAACTTGCACACCAATGGTTTGGAAACCTTGTAACTATGGAGTGGTGGACACATTTATGGCTGAATGAAGGATTCGCAACATGGGTATCCCACTTTCATTTAATTTGTCTTTATTTGGAACCCATTGTCGGAGGAAATGCTTATAATTGGTTTTCATTTTATCTCATTTGTGTAGGTGAGTTATTTAGCTACTGATAGCTTGTTTCCAGAATGGAAAGTATGGAATCAATTTCTTGAAGAATCAAATCATGGTCTTACGTTGGATGGTCTTGCTGAATCACATCCTATTGAGGTACACGTGTGACTGGCATCCGGCAGGCATAGCTTTTTCTTTCTATTATCTCCTTTGTTGGGTATTCTGTTTGTCTTAATTCAAGGAAAGTCATTCTAGTGTTTCATGTTCAAGTTAAGGAAGCACTCTTTTCTTTCAGGTTGAGATAAACCATGCCAGTGAGGTTGATGAAATATTTGATGCAATTAGCTATAGAAAAGGTGCATCTGTTATTCGAATGTTACAAAGTTATCTCGGTGCCGAGTGTTTTCAGGTTGTTTACTATTCCTTGTCTAAAAAATTGGATCATTTTGTACCTATTAATCCAATTCGTTGAAGTGGGTTGCTTGATGTGATCAGAAATCACTTGCTTCGTACATTAAAAGGCACAGTTGCTCAAATGCAAAAACTGAAGACTTGTGGGCTGCACTTGAGGAGGGGTCTGGTGAACCTGTGAACAAATTAATGAGTTCCTGGACTAAGCAACAAGGATATCCTGTTGTCACAGTCAAAGTGAAAGATGAGAAATTGGTGTTTGAGCAGGTCTCTTTGTGTTGGTTTCTGTCATTTGATCAAATTCATCTAAGAATTTCTTATGTTAGTTTTAACATTTTATTTTTTGATAAACTCTTGAGGGTTATAATTCATGGATATTGTAATTGGCAGTCAAGATTTTTGTTGAGTGGTTCCTGTGGAGAGGGGCAATGGATTGTTCCCATAACATTGTGTTGTGGCTCCTATGATGTGCGCAAGAATTTTCTGTTGCAAACGAAGACAGAATCTGTTGACATCAAGGAGTTCCTCGGTTGTTCCTTCAGAAAATGGGATGGTGGAAATGATAAATCTTGTGATTGGATAAAGCTTAATGTGGATCAGACTGGTTTCTACCGGGTGAAGTATGACACAGATCTTGCATATAAGCTTAGAAATGCAATAGAAAAAGATCATTTGACTGCAACTGACAGATTTGGTAACTAATATCTTAGCTTTACTCATTTTGATGTTGGTAATAAGGAGTAGCTAAGGTTATTCTTTCTACAGGTATTTTGGATGATGCATTTGCCCTTTCTATGGCTTGCCAGCAATCAGTTACTTCTTTGTTTACCTTAATAAGTGCTTACAGAAAGGAACTTGACTATACTGTGTTATCGAATTTGATCAGTGTAATGTTTTCACCTAGACTCTTTTTTCCTCCAGTTTTTATAGTCATGCATAGAGAGCTTATTCTGGGAAACTATTTTGTAGATAAGCTATAAACTTGAAAAAATTGCGGCTGATGCAATTCCTGAGGCCCTGGTCAACATCAAACAATTTTTCATCAACAATTTCTACTTTGCAGCAGAGTAAGATATTTCATGTGAATTTGTGTGTACTTTTAAATCTTTATAAGCGGCTATGTAGGATTTTTTGGCCATGATTAAAGTTATATGTTTGTATAGCCTAAATAAGATGTCATTAATGGATCTTATTTTATAGTTATCTTGTTTCAGATGTTTGAATTTTTTTTTTTTTTATTTTTGGTGGTCAACAAAATAAACGGCACATTTATAATATGGAAGTATGGTAACTGTAGCTTGATCTATTGAATGATGTGCGTTCTTGTTAACAGAAAAACTTCGGGTGTTTTTTCCCTTTGGCTGGGGGGAGTTTATGATATACATATTGTCTTAGATTTAATTGAAATGTTTTGCATTTTCTTTTGTTTCTGCAAATCCTTGTGTTGGTATGAAGAATTCCATATTCTATAAATCTAAATAACCCCAATAGTTGGCACGGAGGTTCTGAATTCTTTTCACTGCTCGTTTTTTTAAAACAAAATTTCTTTTGAATTGGCCAAGATATTATTGGTCGAGGAGACTTTGGCTTAATTTCCCAAATTATGGCCTCTGTAGCTTTATTGGAAAAATTAGGATTTGGTGATATTAAAATTAATGTATTCAACACACACCCTTTCCCATTTTCCCTAGTTGTCAAAAGGGTAAGGTGTACCATTTATATTTTGTTGAAGTCATGATTTTCAGGTATTGCAACAATATCCTTAGGATATTAAACATCTTAATGAGTGTCTGGATGCCAAATATATACAAATACAAACTGCATAAAAGTTATCTTGCAATCTTTTTGGTTATTTTATTTATATATGCAACTTTATATGTAGAAAACTGGGTTGGGACCCGAAACCAGGCGAAAGCCATCTTGATGCAATGTTGAGAGGAGAAATATTGACGGCTCTTGCTCTGTTCGGTTGTGAATCAACAATAAAAGAAGCGAATAGGCGATATCATGCATTTTTAGATGACAGAAGTACGCCACTCCTCCCACCTGATATTAGAAAGGTACGCTGGAGGAACATAATGCTGTACAAACAACTAAGCAAGAATCTTACGTTCTTAATCGTCTCATGTTTTCTTTATTATAATGTTTCAGGCTGCATACGTGGCGGTAATGCAGACAGTCAGTACTTCAAACAGATCTGGTTACGAATCACTTTTAAGAATTTATAGAGAGACTGATCTTAGCCAGGAGAAAACACGCATTTTAAGTAAGTCACATATTATTTTTGGTCAACTAACGAGTTTCCTTGTGTTGTGTGTAATATTCATATGATTACTTCTGTTTCTTTTTAGGTTCCTTGGCATCTTGTCCAGATCCTAACATCATTCTGGAAGTTCTCAACTTTTTGTTGTCGTCTGAGGTACTGTAGTTTCTTCATACAATGACAACCTCTTGCATTTGAGACTCAAAATACTCATTATTTTCACTTGTAGGTTCGTAGTCAAGATGCTGTTTTTGGACTAGGGGTTAATTGGAAAGCACGGGAAACAGCTTGGACATGGCTGAAGGTGATATACTCAATCCTCTCCATTAAGAAGCACACTATATTATTATTTGATTGGACTTTTCTCGTAAATATTTATCCTGTTAGCATATCATTCAGAAAGTTCTTACAAAAGGGGTGGTTATATCCCAAAGTTGGATGTTGAGGGGGAAATGAGCACAATTTATTCTTGAATGACATTTTGGCACCCTTTTGTTAGTTAGACAGGTCCACCGCTAGCATATATTGTTTTCATATATTGTCTTCTTTGGCCTTTCTTTCAAGGTTTTTAAAACGTGTTAGGGAAAGGTTTCCACACCCTTGTAAAGGGTGGGCTACCATATATTGTCCTCTTTGGCCGTTCTCTCAAGGTTTTTACTCGCTGTGGATCTCACAAAAAATATATATATATATATATATATATATATATATATATATATATATATATATATAATCAAGCTTTAGACACTAGTTCACATACACATACAGTTTTCTTAATTTTATTTTTTTATTATTGTTTTGAAATTGAGCTTAGAATTCCAATGTGTTTCTGTTTTTCAGAAATGTAATGAAAAAAAAAAATAGTTATCAAATAATACCTGTTTTTTCATTGTTCATATCTCGTGCTCTGTTCCTTCGAAACTATAACAATGGGACAATGTCAACGCAGGCGAAGTGGGAAGAAATCTCAAAAATCTTCGACTCCGGGTTTCTGATCGGACGCTTTGTCAGTGCCACAGTCTCCCCGGTTTGTACAGCTCTCTTCTTTCTCTTCCACCCTGGTTCATTAGTTTGTTCTCAAGCTCTCGCCTATAACTTATCTTTTCAGTTTGCGTCGTACGACAAAGCGAAGGAAGTTGAGGAGTTCTTTGCAAGCCGTGTCAAGCCAGGGATAGCCCGAACATTGAAGCAGAGCATCGAGCGTGTTCACATCAATTCAAGATGGGTTCAGAGCGTTCAGAAGGAGCATGATCTTTCTAGAGTTGTACAAGAGCTAGGGTTGGATGAATGCATTTTATCACGTATCACTGAATAGTGAATATGAAGCGTCTTTGAAAGCAAGGCTCCTGCGATGTTTTAGTTGTCTCGGTTAGATTTATGAACTTCAATCAATTCCACAACCCCATAATAATAAAGTGGAATGAAGAAGTTTTCTTTACTGTAATGTTTCCTCCTGACTGCTTGCCCCCAGCAAAACAGCCTTTACTTTGGTTGCACATTCAATAATTTAATATGAAGTCGTGCTTCTTCTAAGGTTAATTATGCATATTCTACATTGAAGTTCATGCTTATTAGATTATTACATCTTTGCTTAATTTTTGTTGATCCTTAAAATTAATATTATTTAATGTGTTAGGTCGATTGATTAATGAATAATGGATACATCACGATTTTTGTCCCTATTGAGAAATGGTTCAAAATAGTCTCGAGATCGTTAGCAACTAACTGACAACTGATGTTCAGCGATTAAACTATTGAGAATAATATATCGATTCAAATATTTTCAAGCCCTCCTAAAAATTAATTACAATGAAGCTAGAATACATACAAATATTTTCAAGCCCTCCTAAAAATTCATTACAATGGAGCTAGAATACATACGAGGTGACAAGCATGCTAGTGCAAGTCATGAAAGTCGAATCTTATAATGGAATGGAATCCACGAAAAATCAACGTAATGAATGAATCAAGATCTTTGCCTTCTAGCTGTATTCCGTCACTTGAATATTTAATGATTTATGATTGTAAGTATTCAAACAAAACAATAATGATAGCCCATTGATCAAAATTCAATGGAAACAGTGGATTAAATAAAATGAGATTCTATGAAAAACCAACGAAACAGAACAAACAAAGCAAAGATTTTTTTAATTCAGTCAACAAATTGAAAACCAGTGACCAACCAAGTGAAAAAACATGCTATAGTTCTAATGTTTGTGTGAGAGTCCACATTAGGTGGGGAAGAAAGCGAAACACCCTTTATAAGGGTATAGAAACCTTCCCCTAGCAGACGTTTTAAAGCCTTGAGGGGAAGAAAGTCCAAAGAGGACAATATCTACCCTTTTCCCTAGCAGACGTGTTTTAAAGCCTTGAGGGGAAGAAAGTCTAAAGAGGACAATATCTACCCTTTTCCCTAGCAGACGTGTTTTAAAGCCTTGAGGGGAAGCCTGAAAGGGAAAATTCAAAGAGGACAATATCTGCTAGGTCTATTACAGTTTGACGACATAATTTTATCAAACCAAAAAGTTGTCCTTGTTTTCCTGCTAACAGTATTAAAGAATAAGTTACGTAAAATATCTTCTCTTCCTATGCTAAGATATTTTCTTGTTCTGTTGATACAATGCTTACAATGAGAACACAAAATGATTAGATTTCATAGCCCTATCATAGAACAGGAATCAAAATGCACTTTATTCTTTTAGATAAGAAACAGGGACCACAATACCCAACAAGACCAAACAATGGACAAAAGAAAGCATGGAAAATTTCATGTTCTTCCAAAAGAAAAAGGAACACAGAAAAAAAAAATGATGTAGAAAATGGGCCTCGTCTATCCTCGACTCGACCTGCCCGCCAAAAATATAATATAAAAACATACAATTTTTTCACAACTAAAATATATGTTTGTTTCCACATAACCTCATCACACACGATCACAATGATAATAGTTTTGAAATGGCTTATATCCAGTTCATTGATATAACTAGCCATTGATAAGAAAAAGAAACTTTGACCAAAGAGAACTACTGCCACAAGAGAAAGCAAGGTTCCAACATTGCAAACCTGGGCAGCTAGGACAAAGTTTCATGACTCTGCTCTAAGTTACATTTATAATATAATGCACAAAACCCTACTCACCTTTCACCAAGTGCTGATACTTAGCTGGTCTCTCATTGATTAGAAACTCTTCAGGCATTGTTGTTTGCTTTATATATCCATTTTGTATTGTAAACTGTAACTGAATGGCAGCATACACAATAAATGCAGACTTCAGAGACGCGATGATACCCTAATTAGCGGGCAAATGAAAAAAGATATGCAGATCAGCTCGCCCTTCATTTTACCATCTGTTATGGCAACATGGGGTCTCCTGATACTGCTAGCATCTGCATTTCGGCCTCACTGGCTATTAGTTCGGCTGCATAGTCTCCCGCAGTGCCATCTGCAGATATCAGCTATCGAATCAGCCCATGAACTTAAATGTAAATATACAATTTCGCTTGAGAAAGGAAAAGGATATAAATAATATGAAGGATAAGATCTACTACTTAATATATCAGTTGGAGGCTGTTTCATTGACAATCTCTGAGAATCTGCAATGTTAGAGTTGAAGGAAATTTAGTCAAAGATCTGCCTCAAAATGGATAGCAATAAACTAACCGGCAAATTTCAAAATTTGACACAAAGAAAAGAAATTGGGGTAATAATAGTCAAAAAAATTGAAATCGAAATATTATTTAAATGATCGTGATTATGAACCCCAAAAGATTAAGATTTAGATTAAGGATTAAGGATGATTTGGTTATTTAAATGATTGCCCAACTTGCCAGTTGAATATGAGATCAGAGAAAAAAGCAAGTTGAATATGAGATCAGAGAAAAAAGCAAGTTGAATATGAGATCAGAGAGAAAAGCGAGTTTCCTATACCAAGAGAAGAATAGAAATAAATTAAAAAAAATTACACATGAAAAATGAAAGATGAAAGATGAAAGATTTTGTTTTTGTTTAAAAAAATTCAAAAACTTGTTTTTGTTTTGGAAGTTTGGCTAATAATTCTGAAGTTTGTTAAGAAAGATGAAAGTCATTGTAGAGAATTGATGAGAAATCAAGAACAATTTTTAAAAACTCAAAACCAAATGGTAATCAGTCAAGGCCTAAGAGATTAGGTATGTTATAGGATTTTAGACAACCTATATCTTATTTCTTTAAAAACAAAATAAATTAAACTAGGTGCACACTTCAACTGGCCTTCTTTGCACCTCTTAAAATAGGGCTGGTTCGGGGTGCTATATTCTAAATGACTAAAAATAATACTGATCAAAGCAAAAGAATTACCGAGTGATCCATGAAGCCCTTTGACAGCATCGAAGTTCTTGTACGTATACCCAACAAAGCTGAGATCTTTGGGAGTCAATAGCATCTGCAACAAATGAGTACTACTTCAAACTTACATACTATACACGCATACATAGAATGAGAAAGTAACCTGCATAAGATTATTCCTATACTTGTTTACGATTATGTATTATTTTGACGCGTGTTTTCTATAGGAAAGATCCCTATTCGCAGATTTATGCCACGGAAAAAAGAAAATGCAATGTAACAAACCTTCCTTGAGGGTCCGGAGCCACGTTTTCCTGGTATAGGTGGATCCAACTAAAACAAATTGTAAAAAAGTGAATTATTAGAACAATTTATAATAGTGAAGTTATTCAGCATTTCAAAAGTGCAAGTGCTAGTAGAATTGTCTAACAGATGTGTTCTTACTAAGAATAAATCAGAATTCAAGGATATGCATGTACTACGTGTGTACATTTTTTTGGAATTATTCACATCATACAATAATAAAAAGGATTAGGATATTTAGGAGTGCAAAGGGAAGGATCATAATAAGAAACCGTTTGTCACCATGGTCCCTAATCTGAAAGAGGAAAGTATGGTGATTAAGGTGGCTGTGGACTTCATATAAGACTAGACATTAGAGAATATCACAATTTTTTTTAAGAGAGAGAGAGAGATACAGATATAGTGCATGTATGTGCAGGTGTGTATTGTGTAGATGAATAATAAAGGTCTCTAGAAAATACTTCATCAAACTTCATAAAGTTCTGGGTATCGAGCTCTCCATTAACTTCAGGCTTAAATGCTGCCTCCATTTCATAAAGTCTATCCCAGATGACATCTTTGAACCACGGATGACTCTGGAACAAACAACATCTCCTCTCAGTTGCGGAAATTAAGAAAATATATTTACCCGCAAGTGCTTGATTGTCTAACCAGTTGAAACTTACTTTAATTTGGTATGCACCTCCAGTACCAAGTCTATGCTCAACGTCGCAAAGCAACCTACAGATGAGATCCTTTGCTTCAATTGACAACTTAGCATCCTCTGGAAACTTCAGTTGATTTTTCCAGTGAACAATCTGACAGTAATTGCTTAATTAGTTTACTATTTGCGCTTAATTTCTGGTGGATAAAATTTCCATAAATTTTTAGAAATGCAGTAAATGTACAGGAAAAAGAGGTTTGATCACAATCTTTTAGTTCAAAACAAACTATTAGATATTGAAGTTTTGAACTAACGGGATTAAATCTTTACAATATAAAAGCACATTTTACCTTTCTGCAGGTGGTGATTGGATCATCGGAGTAAAATGGAGGATAGCCAACGAGCATCTCATACATAATTGCACCGAGGGACCACCTGAGGGAAGTTCAGTTAACAGAATAATAAAGACATGGATACAAATATGTTTTACTTCTTTAAAAATAAAGTTCAATGGAAGTATCTCATCCAAAAAGTGAAGGGCCATGCTAGTTAGTAGTTACTCAATGCTTCTCTTCTCCTGATAACTTTGTGTATAAACTATAAATGATTTCGATGTGTTTACAATGCTTTATATCAACTAAATTTACTTTTTCTCGTTTCTTTCTATACAGTATATTTCAATTGATGGAATAATTGAACTTCTTTTTTCCTATCACGTTAAGCAGAAAAACTATGGTGTTAGTTTATCAACAAAAATATATCTGGCTCAGATCGATAAAAAAACAATTGATAATTAGAATCTACAAATAAAAATAATTACCATCCATAAAATGCTGACAGTCATAACATCAACCAGAGATGTGGAAGTCGTTAATTGAACATTTTGATAACAATAATGTGATGTCCAAAAAAATATCATCCAGATTTAGTATGCATCAATTGTGGAAATGGAGAACATTTTTTTATAAGAGGAACTTGATAATAGCAAGCAAAAATATGCCAAAACTAACCAGTCGCACTCCATCCCATATCCTTTTTTGAGTAATACTTCTGGAGCTATGTAATCAGGTGTTCCAACTGTTGAAAATGCCTGTCCAAATGAAAGAAGGAAAAGGTAAGAATGATAACAGAAAGGCCAACTTTTAAACAACTATTTTAGTTAATACAAAATATAAACCAAGCTATTGCACCATTTAAGTCTGTAGCATCTCCAGTAACACATAAGGCTTGTTAAAGACTTAGATATAATAAAGAAACAGAAGGCGGAAACTTT